TTCAAATTTCAGAGTAATAGTTTGAGGGGCAACATTGCCTTTTTGGTTTTGAAGTTAATTTCAATTTGCCCCCACAGTCCTGCAGTGGCTTTTCAGATTGTTTTGGGGGTTCTTGGAAGTTAATTGCCTTCAGCGGTCCTTGAATGAAATTTTCCCAATAAATTATTTATTTTTTTACTGTGGGGAATTTCAATTCATGAGGGAATCTTTAAACTGGGCTTAGTGTAGGCCCAAAAATTGTTTTTTGGGGGTGGTTAACGTCAACACCAAACAAAACCAAGAGCCTCTAATGTGTGATTATTCTTTGGGAAAACAAAAGTATTAGGAATCAACCATAAAAGTCACCTTAAACTCAGTCAAATACGGGACTAACAATCAGAATTAATTAATTATAAATTGAATAGAGATTCATTTTATCATTTTTCATTTAAATTTTCATGAATAAGGTTGCAATTTTGTCTCTTGATAAAGCATAAAACAAAACACAACCTTCTTATAAACTTTGGTGTTTTGATGATTCATTTCCAAAACATCCACTCACAGTCCTCATAAGTAGTTTTTCCTCTCTCTTTTTCATAAGTTTCAATCAACTATACATTAAAAAAAACTAATTAAAAAACTTAGGTCATTTTTGTACAATTTCAAAATTATTTTTTAATAAAATTCAACAGAGAAGTTTGGTTAATTAGTTAGAGAATTTTATAATTAATCAGAAGTATTATATGAAAAATCATTTTAGACAAAACATATTATATTACAAAACATAGATGTAAGATATCTTTATAATAAGAATAAAAAAGAATATTATTTTTTAATAATATTATGTGTAAGCATTTTAATTTGTTATATTAAAAAGTTGGAATATAATCAACTAACGCGATAGATATTCTTGAGATCCCAAAAAAAAAAAAAATTGCAAGAAAATTCATCTTACAGAATAATACAGCTTTATAAGGAAGCGTCAATCACGGTTCGGGAAAGATAAATAAACGAATTGGGAAGAATAACATAAAAATGCCTCCAGAATATACAAATATCATATTAGGACTATATTATTGTGAGATGACTATATTATCCTTTTGTGAAGAAAAAGGGTAAAAACTCCTTGCACCATGCATGGTTACTGAGACATCAACGTTGTCACTGTCTATCGTTTGGTTATCATTTTATATAATGAAAATTGTTTCTTCAATTTACTATTAATATCTAAAACCCAAACCTAGCTTTTCAAAATACTAATGGTCACTGCTTAAGTTCTTGTTATCGTAGTTAAAGTTGTTACTCTTCTGGTTCTATTTATAAAACCTTTCTAACATATTTCACATAGACTAAAAAAATCTTAAACTGTATTAACTCTTCACTAAAATATAGCAACTTTTCAATTTTACCTTTATTTAATATATACACCTTTCCAAAAAAAAAAACTATCTACACCATAATAAATGAATAACAATATAATACATTTATGATAAAAATTTAATAAAGTGACTTATAAATAAGACAAAAAAAACTTCTCTCTTTGTTTTATAAATAGGACCAAAGGAGTATTTCTTAAAATAAAGTGGTTATTTGTTTCAAAATCATCCATTCTCACTATTTCTTTTTTGGACATAAGGTCAGTATTGTCATCTCGTAATAAAATTTAACGCCAAAGAAGACTTTAGAGAAATCATCTCATTTCATAATCTTATTTTAAAATTGCATATTTGAGGATATTTTTGTGTCACTGTTTTATAAAATTATTGGAGAAAAATAGCAAAAGAAAAAAAAAGGTATCGTGGTTTTGCATAAATTGTCTAGTTTAAAGAAACTTTATGTGCCAAAATAAAAATTGAAATAAAGCATTTGAAATTTGGCTGTGCAGTGGACTTGCTGGTTCTCATCAGCTTCAATGTGAACACTGAGAAGCTTCCCTGCTTTTCTCACTTTCTTCTTTTCACATTTGATGAGATCATTGATATGCCAGAAGATCACATTCAATTTTGCTCAAATTAATTAAACATATATATTTATATATATGAACCGAAATTACTCATTATTATCAATACTAAATCATTTATACCAGTTAAAAACCATAAAAATGTACATCCAAGTTGAAACAAAAACCCAATTCAATGCCCATGTTATGTGCCAAAATCTTCATTAAAAGAAAAAAATTCTGATAAAATAAAATATACGGGTTGGTTTATATAGCGTACAGAAACATGTCAACTTTAAGTTCAGAACTTTATTCAAATGATATTAAACTTAAATTCATAATCTTGTTCAAACATGACGAGTGGCAGTGTGACTTGTTATTAAAGTATTAAATAATTGAAAATAGTACAAGATGATATAAAGATTAAAAAAACCCTAAAAAATTAAAAGTGAAAGAAGAAAAAGAATAATAATGTGTGATTGTAAATGATGGGAAAAGCAGGGGAGAAGTATTTGTGATGCATGCGCATAAAAGGAGAGACAGCACAACGTAGCATAACAATTCGCAATCATTTCACACTTTCGCTTTTATTATTGCCCTTAATTTTTTTCTTATTAAATTTAATTTTCAAAATTTGGAATGAAAGCCATTGTCATTTTGAATATATTGGATGTAAATAATAAATACTATGCGTTACAATCTTTTTTTCCCCTCCAATCCTCTGCATTGTGTATACGTAATATGAGAAACAAAAGTCTTATTTTCCATATTTTAAAATTTTTCATGACTAATTAAATTTTTTATGTAAATTAAAAAAATTTCTTAAAATTAGGTAGTTCTTATAAAATCTTAAAATTACTTACAATACAAGTTATTAATTTTTTAGTTAGTGAAGTTTTATTGATTAACTAAAAAGTTTTAAACAAAACATTATATTATAAAATATTCAAGAGATATTTAGAATTGAAAAGAGTGCAGTTTATTAGAATTTTTATATTGATATATTGATTTTAAACTTATCAATTATTTTTAACTACACTGACAGAAAATGTCAACATAAATTTTTACCAAAGTTTAATATAAACCTTGAATTATAGGTTTTCATGTAAACCTTAAATTATTTTTAATATAAATATTTATGATTAGCATGATATATTTTTTTAATTGCATTCAACACCTTAATAATTGGAATTGAATGCACTAAAAATAAAATTAGGGTGCTGGACGCTCTTAAAAAAAATAAAATTGGAGTACTAACTATACCATAAAAAAGATTGAAGTATTAGATACACCTTAACATTCATATAAAATACAAAATATAAAATAAATTTAGAAAATCACTCTATCATCATGGTCATCTCATGTCTCATAAAATTAAAATGTTTCATATTTTAAATTATAATTAAGGAAAAATTTATAATTTGGAATCAAAATAATGTTTGATATAGTTATATGGGTAACTGACTTTGTTCTCTTCTAAATATTTTAAACTGGCTTTTCAATGTATCATTTAAATAAATTTTTGTCAAATTGCTTTTTTCACAAAAATCTAGTCAACTATAAGTCACATTAGACTTATTAACTTTTACCTTAATTTTAAGGGAAAATTTCATTTAAGGACCGTAGTTGAGAATTTATATCAGACAGCCCCAAAACATTCTAAAATATCACTGTAGGACTAAGGGACCAAACTGATATTGAAATTAAGAGTAAGATTACAATAATACCCCTCATTTTTATTTTTTTAAAAAATAAATATTAATGGTCATCGGAGTTCCGGCTACCAGTGCTTAGGTGGCTGCCGCCGGAGGTTGGAGCTCCGGTGGCCAGGAGATTTTTTTTTAAAAATAAAGTAGCCAAGGGAAGGTTTGAACCTATGACTCTTAGACATATCAAAACTGATGTAACCACCAAGACAAGCAAACCATTTAATCATATAATGCAAATAAAAATATATCTAACAAAACAAACACAAGTGTCCAAGTATAAGTAAATAAGTGAAATTCAAAAGTTTACAAGTAAAATTTAGTAATTTTCAACAAAAATTTGATAATTTACAAATAACATAATAGAATTTACAATCCCAAATACAAGTGCTTAAGTGCAAATGAGCAAGTAAAATTTCAAGATTTATAATAAGAGTTTATGGATTTACAATTCAAATTTGACTATTCACAAGAAACACACAAGAATTCATAACTTAAAATATAAGTGTTGAGTGTAAGAGAACAAGTGAAATTTTGACAATTTACAAGTAAAATTCAACAATTTATGATAAAAATTTGGCAATTTACAAATAACATAATGGAATTCACAACCTCCGACCTCTGGTGGCCGGAACTGCGGCGACCATCAGTATTTATTTTTTAAAATAAAAGTGAGAGATATTATTATAATCTTACTCTTAATTTTAATTTCAGTTTGATCCCTTAATCCTACAGTGATATTTCAGAATATTTTGGGAACTGTCTGATATAAATTCTCAAATCCAGTCCTTAAATGAAATTTTTCCTAATTTTAATTTGCCAAAATCAGTGGGGATGAAAACTACTTTTACGAATGTAAATCCAAACAAACTCTGTACACTTTTTGACTCAGCCGAAGCGGTGGGCAATGATGGTGTGGGAAGGGAGTCAAGGGACTGGTGGTCCCAGAACGCACCCAATCTTTTGTGTTTTTTTCTTTGTTGGGGTTCACATCTCATAGTCGGAGAAATTTCAGTATCGGTTTTCTGTAACATCTCAATAATTATAATTGTTGCCTCACTTTCATGATCTCAGATGTCCTGTTTAGGTTCGATTGGTCCTTCAACTATTAAAAAAATAAGCGCAACCATCTAAAACCTTTTAAATCATTATACCCTCTCCTGTGTTTAATATATACACATATGAGTTACTAAACTAATTTAATTAGATTAAAAAATTAAATAAATTAATTAACTATAACAAATATAATATCATCTTCGTAAATTATATATATTTGTCAATAACTAAATTAGTTTAGAAATACATAGGCACATAAGATAGTATACACATGTTAAGATATAATAGTAGTTGTTGTTATCATTACTTGTTTGTGAAAGTTTTGATGATGGTGATGGTGATGGTAAAACGCCAAAATAGGAAGTCCAAGTCTCTCTGGGAATGAATTTTAATCTAATGCTAAAAAGTCACAACACACGGAAGTTATAAATGATAAGATCTTCTCCAAAATGGAAAATGAATTCAAAAAAGAAAGAAAGAAAGGCAACCAAAATATATAATCTCTCTCTAGTCTCTCAAAGTAAGAAGGGAGCTCAGAAGAAGGCAGAGAAAATGGCTACACATGATGAAGCAGCAAGAAGCAAAGATGGATGAAACAGAGAAGACGCTGCAGAAGTGTTGCCTGGGGATGGTGATGGTGCTGGAGATATCTCATTTGCTGTCTCACCACCAGATCCAGATGCTTCAGGTGCTTCTCCACCACTCGTACCAGATGGTGGAGATGATACCGGAGATGTCAGGCCTCCTGAATCACACAAATCATTAACACAAACATGCCCTAAATCTTTAAAAAGAGAAAACAGATGAAAGTCACATTTTCTCTTTACAGTTCATATCCATCTTTGTAAACTGTGAGTGATCATAGATCTTTTCACAGTTATGAAATCATATATTAAGAGAGGGAAACATTAGAGGAAAGAAATGACTATGGATTAAAGTGACTTTTTCACTTTACAATTTACATCCATCTTTCTGATTCCTCTGTAATAGCTGTGAGTGATAGAAGGGTAGTATGTGCCGGGGCCACTTATCTTTTTCCCTTAATTCTCTCTGGGTACATTTGATGTCATTCTTATAATTGAAGAAAATAGAAATCTTGAATTGAGAATCAGAATAGAGATTCTTAAATAGACAATATATAAAAGATAAGCCAAATTAGTAAATAAGATATGTATGAAAGTATCACTCATAAAAACTTGCAAATTTGCTAACATGCACTCTAATGATTGATTCAGTGAATTTGGAGTACTTTTTGGGGAACTTTTAAATGTATGGTCAAAGATGTTTCAAACTTTACATTAAATTATTGCATTGATAGCTGTAAATATCCCCACCAAGAGGGAAAGGGACGACGTTGTGGGGAGCATGTCAATTAATTATTTGGGAGAAATGAAGGGCATGAATGCTGTTGATTTGACTGTTCCTTAATCATGCTAGTTGCATTTTGTTATTAATTAACAAAGAAATTGAAGATATTGTAAAGTGAGATGATATGTGCTGTATGGAAAATGAAATGCTTCTTCATATGCAAAGAAAGATAGAGTCTAATCACCTACATTTACTTATGGACCCACTTGGATTACGTAGACGCAAGCATTAGAATTTTGGATTATCTGTTGAGCATATGAACTCCGAGGGCCACCAAATACATACACAGGTATGTATAAAATATATAATGATTAAATCATTAACTATTTTTCAATGGAATATATTCAGAATATAGAAGGCAATTGAAGACGAAAATCCAGAAAATCTCAAATGAGTTTCTCATTATCTGGGACTAATCTAAAACTGGGGGAAAACAGCATGTTCTATGTTAAGACTTGAGAAACTTACCACCTGGTGCAGCGGCAGGAGTTTCAGACACTGCACAAAAGGGGAAAAACAGCAATTTAGATCTTGTATGAATCTAGAAATGTAGAAAACACCAGATCAAAATCACAGAAATTAAATCAAGTGGGGCCATGACATGAAACACCAATATCTAGAAAAAAATATAGCTGGCTCAAGTTCAATAATTAAATCTAACCCTGTAATATTTTATTCACTAAGGTTTCATAGTCTCACTACTTGATCGGCTTTCAAGGTCAAAAAAACAAACTACTTGATCGGCGTCAAGAAAATCCACTAATTGCGCTTCAACGCGGGTCCCAGATGAGGTTTGTTGTTTCTCTGCTTTCTACAGGGAATTTTAGGATCGCAGTCTGAGCAATGCATATTTTGTTGTACAGTGTTTATCATCGATGTCAACTTTAGAGGAAAGGGGTTAGAAATCCAGATCAATGCGTTCAAACGGTCAAATTAAAAGCAGAACAGCCAAAGGCCTTTCTCCAATACGCAAAAAATCGAGAAGCTTCTTTCAAAAGAAAAACAGTACTAAAACACTGTAAACACAAGGATAGTTTCCCAATCCAGATTATTCCCCATCCGAAGCAAAAAGAATATGCAAAGATGAATCACATTTTTCTGTGCCATTATCACAAGATCAGAAAGCAAAGAAACAAAATCAGGGACGCCAAAAAAAAAAAACAGAGCACGATTAAGCAGAAGAAAAGAAGAATTGCTTACATGCACAGTTAGCAGCGGAAGGAGCAGAGACTTTGCAAGCAGCAGGAAGAGTAACGGCCTTGGTAACATTCAACACAACGCCCAACTGAGCACTGCTTCTGAAGGCCTCACAGAGGCAACCAGCGTCGGTCTTAAGCACAGTCTTCAAGCCAGAGCAGCAATTTCCCTCAGGCTTGTTGACGGTGCTTCCATTGGAGACGAAGGAAAGACAATCGGCCATGGTTAAGACGAGGTTTGAACAATCCACTGACGGCGCCTGAGCATCGCTAGCGGAATCGGAAGAAACCGCACAGATAGCGAGAACGCAGAGAATCAAAGAAACTTTCCATGACGCCATTGTTAGTTGTGGAGAAGAAGGAAGTGAATCAATGGGCGAGAAGAGAGGAAGAAGAAAGAGGCGTCAGAAAGGAAATGGAGCGAAGAGGTGTGAGGAAATGTGGGAATGGGAGGCTGTTAAATAGGGAAGTGGGCAAATCATGGGTTTGAATATGAAAAGGTGCCAACCATCCAGATTTTCATTTCTTTCTTTTTTTCCCTTTTTAATTAGATCACGACGATATGATAATAATAATTTTATGAAATATTAATTATCAAATAAGAAAATAAGAGAAAAGATAAATAAAATAAAAAGAAATTCAGTTAGGAGTATCGAAATACAAGGTGACTAGTTTAATTTATTTTAAAATTAAACTGTTTCGTTTTAATGACTTTAAAAATATCACTCTCAATTATTATTATTAATCCTCTAAAAAGAAAACAATTTCGCCGGAACTAGTTTTACTTGATTTTTAATTTTTAATTTTCTTATTTTTCTGTCTTAATTAAATTATTTTATTCTTCTTAGTTAGTATCGTTCGTCTTTATAATTTTGCTCTATTAACACTTTTAAATTATGTATATAAGTTAACGGTACTAGCAAAATAAAATTAAAAAATTCCATTAAAATTTAATTTAGAAGCAAAAAGATATAAATACTAAATTTAAAATCGGGGGAGAGTAATTCTGCGAAATTGTGTTCTCATCCTGTGAACCTAAGAGAATGATATGGATGTTTTTAAATTTAAAAAATTAATTAATTCATTTAAATATAATTTACGTCTCAATAAGTGTGGAAACTTGAATCTAATGACCTCTTATGTGTTACAATAATGGTAATTTATTATGAATGATGTGTTTTATTATTCATTTTATATTGATACCAATATTTTCGAAGGTATAATACTCCTTTTTCTGTAATCACTCATGAACTGAAATGTTTGAAATTGCGGTACTGCCTGATATTATCCTTTTTTTTTCCCTCTCAAATACACTTCAGTGAAAAATATTTTAAGGCAGAACTAAATAGTAAAAAAATTATTATAATTACTTTTTTTGGGTCCAAAAGAGTTTGGAACTAAAATTCTAAAAAAAAAAACCTATTTTAAAGTTTTTCTCAGCTAAAAGATGTTTAATATTCCTTCAAAAAAAAAAAAAGATAAACCATACAAAGTGGGATCTAATCCTTTATTCTCTATTGTCTCTTTTGATAAATATTCTAGTTAATTCAAAAGTTCAAACGTATATAAGATTGGAAGACTAATTCTTCAATTGATAACCGTCCTTTATAGATGTCCAAAAGTGATATGTGATCTTCCATTCACATTTATGACTTTTATAGCGAGGTATTACTAATTTACTATATTACTCTTCTGATTCTTAATATAAGACTTATTTAACTAATTTGATCAGATTAAGAAAGTTAGGTAAGTTAGTTAATTATAAAAAATATGATACATTTTTCCTCAAACACTATAATCATCTTTTTTAATACATTCTCTCCCTTTTTTACTTGATTATGGTTGAGGAAGTATCTATAGAGGTAATTTAGAGAAAATCGATAAATATGATAAATGGATATTATATTTAGAATCAAAATCAACTCAACAATTGGGTCCTATATTAAGAACCGGAGGAGTATTTCTTTTGAAAAAGTGGAATGAAGGTAGGCTTTTTTAGGTATTCTTATCCTATGAGTATTAAGAGCATAGTATTTTTTTAAAAAATTATTTTTGTTGTCATCACAATCTATAGACGATGCTATTTATTCATATTGCCTGCAATAATACACGAGGCAGATTTAAATTAAAAAAAAAAAGAAAGAAGAAGAAGCTTTTTTTAATGTTCCAAATAAGTATTATTTGTAAGTTGTTTGTTACGATCGAACTTTTGATGTTACATTGACAATGTTTTAATGGTTTTGACAATTTCAATCCCATTTGATGTGTTATCATAGCTAACCATATTAGAATATTTATTTCATTGTAACACTAAAACAATATGTGAAAAGAAAATACTAACACCAAATTCTCCAATTACATATGATTATGTGTTCTTTTTTTTTTTTTTTAACGTGAATTTAGGAAAAGTTATATTAGAAAGTACCTATGCTTTCTTCTTCTCTGTTTTTTTTTAATCCAGTACCTATGTGTTTTTTCTCCTAATTAAATAATTCAATTTTGCTTTTTTAGTAACATTAGCTCTTGTAACATTGCTCTATTAGTATTGATAGTCTTTGTGCAAGGATTAACAATGTTGATAGAGCAAAATTAAAGATTTAAGGAAGACAAAAAAAATATAGGTGCCAAATTAAAATTTAGAAAAAAGTATAGGTACTTCCAAAATAATTTTCCCTATAAATTTATAGTTTAATAATAATATTTAAAAATAAAATACATGATCATTTGCGATTGAAAAAATTCATATAATAAATATAAAAAATTTAACCTAAATAAACTTGAAGATATACTTGTGATTATTTTCGAGTGATCAGTGTGAAAACATTGAAAGATTGAGTTATTAGTCATGTTAACAGTGGTATGATTATTTTAACTGTCAATATTAGTTTTTTAATGATAAAAAATAATATTACCATAATTTCAAACTGTTAACGTAAATTTGTATCCAAAATTTTTTTTGAATGTTCAATATTTTTAAATAAAAACTTCTGAAATAAATTTGCACTTAACCATATAAATTTACGTTGGCGTACCCTAGCTATATCACTTTAGTCCGACCCAATTATACGAAAATTTACCAAATGCTAAAATGCTGTTGGAACCAAACTAAGCCAAAAAAAAAAAAAATCTCCATCAATATTTAGTCGTCAATAAGGTTCTCTCCCTTTAATTATTTGTATTTTTTGTAGGACTAAATTAAAGGGTAAAATTTTTTAAAAAAAATCACATAACAGTTGAGTTCATTCGATAAACTTATATATTTTAAGAGATGAAGATTTGAAAAGGAAAAAAAAGCAAAAAATTAACGTTGAACACCCAATCAAATCCAATGGATGGGTATCTCTTAATTATTAACAGATCATAATCATATGAGAGACGTTAGAATTTAAAAACACCTCATTAAGTCGTTTTTCCTGAATAGTCCTTAGTTCTAACGTTCCAAACTCAGTTAATCAGATTTGGCCAAAACAAAAAAAGGTCAGTTAATCAGAGCGTAAATTTAGCTTTAAAGGTTTGCGTTTGGTTGGTGAAAAGAAAAATCACGATAATTAAGTTGCATACAGCGTCACCTTTTTGTCCTGTTTTTTTTCAAAGCCACTTTTTTAATTACTCCTCCGATCATTAATATAGGACCCAATTGTTGAGTTGGTTTTAGTCCTAAATATAAGACTCATTTATCATATTTATCAATTTTCTCTAAATTACCCCTATAGATACTTCCTTAACCATAATTAAGTAGAAGAGAAAGATGGGACGTTAAGAAAGATGATTATATTTTTTTTAGAAAAAACGTGTCACATTTCTTATAATCAACTAATTTACCTAACTTCTTTAATTTAATCAAATTAGTTAAATGAGTCTTATATTAAAAACCGGAGGAGTAGTTTTTATTATATCATTATTAAATATGCTATTCTGGATGAAGAGAAAACATATATTTTGGGCCCTAAATTTGTTGTTAACTCAAATCAACATCCTGGTAATAATTCTATGATCGATGAATAAATCCTTAGAATAAAATTTAAAAGTCAACTTTAAACAAAATATTTGAAGAAATTAATTTCTTAATAAAAGAAATTAGAGACCGTAGCTGACCACAACCTCAGTTGACAAATAATCGTTGTTATTTTTATTTGTATTTTGAAAAATTATTTTGTTTAAGTTTTATTTTTCTCTAAAACATGCATTTATCTTTATTAAGTGTAGCCTCGAGAGTAATTGAAAAAAAAAACTAGTTAGAATATGAGAGATATTGGCTTTTATCTTAAGAGTAAGTCTATTAAAAAAAATTTTCTTGACCTTTATGTCATATGTAAAAATTAAAATTCATTTTTATATTATTAGTTTTGTTTATTATTTATCTACAAATGGCTTAAAGTATAATAGGTTTATCCACTATGAGTCAAAGTTTAAGGGGATTATATGCATGTCAAAATAAAAATTTAAGAAGATAACAAAATTAATCTTGGGGGCTATCTGCATAAATGCAAAAGTTTAAGGATGTTTATTGTAAAGTTTTAAAAAATAAGAAAATGATTCATATATAACATAAAATCGAGGGAGTTGTTGTATAATTAACCCAAAAATTGTTTAAGTGGACTGTGATCCGATAACTAAAATGAGGAAAAAAGAAGAGAGAGGAGGGAATCACAAATCACGTTGGTGAAGAGAAGCAGAATGATGAGTGACAATCAATTATGGAAGCGATTCCACCATCTTCGCCAAAAGTGCAACATTCCTCATCATGCTTTCCCCCTCTATATGTACATGCAATCAATCATTTTATTCACTAACCACCTTCTTATTTTATGTTATATTGCCTGTGCTCCATAATATGGATCGAGTCTAAATATAAGACTTTAATTTATTTATTCTCTCGTAATTTATAATTCTTTTCAAGTTAATTTATATAACTTATGAACTGATATATATATATGTGTGTGTAATCTAATGTTATGCAAGGATATTTTAATGAAATCATGTCACACTTGTTATAATTAATTACTAATTTGTTTTATATTTTTATTTATCCAAATTAATTAAGTAGCTCTTATATTAGTATTATATAAGTGTTATACATTTTTGTATTTCCCAAAATTTTATGAAAATTTTTGTATTGTGCATATATATATATTAATATTAATCTCAACCCTCCTCACATTTAATGCCTTCTTTAAGTCTATCTGCGAGTTCAATTCCTCTGTGGATACGATGTTTCTGAGTTCTTTTCGTTAAATGAAGCATGTTAAAAAGAAAAGCACAGGACATAAATACCAAAAAAGCATGTCTAATTATTTGAACTAAAGTGGATCTCTAAAACGAATTTGATGTGAACTCATATGGATACATTGATATTAATTCCAAACGGTCATATAATAGTAACTTATATTTTAGAAGCTTTCTGCTTTCGGCACTGGCATTCTCAAGTAGTCAAGTGCATGAGTGATGATTGGGACCCCCCCCCCCCTTTCCAGGAATTCTTTAACATGGCCTTATGTTGAGACTTGAGAAGACTTTGGTCATTAAACTTTTGAAATTAGTATACATTTCCCGTTTCATGCTTTCTACATAGTCAAAAGATAAGTCTCATCGAGGTTGAAGTTTGAATGCCATACTGAGGAGATGTTTGCATATCCGTAAAAAGTGCTTTCCAAAAACACTTTTTCATAAAATCAAGATAAATTTTTTCATATATTTACTTCGTGTACTGTAAAATTATTTTTATAACCATAATTTGGTTTCTCTTCAAACACTTCCAATCAAAAGATAAAATTTTTTAGGAATAATGGTGGTTTTAACTTGAAAGCCTAGTATTAACAAAGAAGCTACAAGTATCTAGAATTATTATTATTATTATTATTTGACTCAATAGCATATTGAAAGTATTAAGAAAGAGCAATATTGATTCTGCCCGTTAAAAAAATGCTATTGGTACAAGGCATTCTGAATTAGGCATAAAAACTGATGCCTTTTTCAGTGGAACCATGCTTTTCTCTCATAATCTCCACCACCCAAACAAAAAAGTAAAGAGGTGTGGAGATTCCTTTTTGCATTAATAATATATTTCCCTGCACGCCACACTACACTATCTTTCCAACGGTTGTCAGCCTTTTATTTGATAAGTTTCACACGTTATTCTGCATAATTGCCACTCTATGAACACACACACCTACGCCTGAAATAGTCATAACTAGGAAGTTCATTTTTCTTTTATTTCTTTCTACAATGCAACTCAGATGAGTATGAGGCCAAGTTTACATAATAACTGTTTGTATATATACATATGATACTGGTGAGTATATATGGCAGCAACTCTAAGAAGGTGAGGAAGATCTACCTTGGACAAAGGAAACAATAACAGTGACATGATCAAGCTTGCCACCAGTACATCCAACATAGCCAGCGGCTTGGGCTGCATCAGCAAATGGACTTCTTGTGCATGCTGATCTCCCAACCTCTTGTGCCTTCATCGCCAAGAACTCTGCTATTTCCTGAAATTCACCTCCATTGATCAAACAATTGAGATAAGCTAAGCAACACTATTATTATATGTAATGATGCAATTTCCAGGAAAAGTATTCTTAGCTTAGAGCTAGCCATGTGTAGAAGAAAACGGGTTAACCAAGAAACCATCAAGAGGTTCCATAAGCATATCATGCGTATGTTTTTTAGATTAGATCCTTTACATTTATGAATTTGGAGGACAATAATACAAGAATGCAGCTGCGTGTGGAATCCATATTTCATTATTACTCTCCCCCCCCCCCTCACAAAAGCATCATAAAGTTTTATTTTTTCTGAATGTAGAAAATTTGAATTGATGTTTTTCGATGGGATTCGTTTATCATCGAGACCTGCCAGTGTACAAAAATGTGCAGCCAAGAAATCACTGGGTCATGCATAAGCATGTCAAGCACCTTATTTTTAAAAGGACTCATTTATTAGCCAGACCCACTGATGCATAACAAATAGGTAGACCCAGAAATCATCTGAAAGTTGCACAAGCATGTCAGCCACATTTTCAATACTCAGTTTTTAAGTGCTTGTGTGTCTTGATAATTGAAACTTCAGGAAAAATTAGACCTGATATATATATATATATATATATATATATATTTAAACTGAACTTTCAGGAGAAAAATGTAAGATGTAGAGATACCAGATATGCATTTTAAAGTTCACAAACACCGATTACAGCGTGGAAAGGAAAGGACAGAGATGAAAGAGAAGAGAGAGAGAATGTTCATTAACCAATAATCTTATCCTCCTCACCCCTTGGTGCATTGGTATATACAGCAAACTTACTTAGTCAAACGACTCCAACTATCTTCTCTACCCATCTGAATATTCATATCAAAGTACAGCTTAACGATTGCATTGCACATGCTTCATAGATATTAAACACAAAGTATTGCAATGCCCCATCTCGAGAATTTCTTCATATGATGAATTTCTTTACTACTGAATGGTAGACAGAAGCAATAAAGACAGATATATACTACAACAAAAGAAGCGTAGAGATAAATAACCTGAGGTTTTAAGCCACTCTGCAGAGATTTGGATACAATTATAGCTATCTCTTGCTCATAAAGATTGTCAAAAAGGCCATCAGTGGCAGTTACAATCACATCACCTTCGCTTAGATCAACCTTGTACCCCTGAAACACATTTCACTTTTAGCTGCTACATGTTGTATATAATCCATGCAGGCCAAAGAAAAATAAATACAGGTTGGAAACATTGGTTGTCCTTTACGGAAAAATCAGTTAAAGTGAAGATGCTACAAGATGGATTACGCACCTCAATAATTTCTGAGGGATCGTCACCTCTAACTATCTGTAATGGAAAATTGAATTCATGAACAGTGGGAGTTGACTTTTTAAAGACAGCACCGTTTCTTAGAATGATAAATCCTGTGTCTCCAACGTTGGCAGCATGGACGGTCTGCACATGATTTTCAGGATTTAATTCAATTTTCAGAACTGTTCTGCAGATGGATTATACGTTTCTTCACTCTCTCTCTCTTTTTGATTTAGCTAAGCACTAGATAGCCCAAAAGCAATGACATGGTTGTCTTTGAAACATATTAATATAATGGATATTTGAACAAGTTGAACACTTGAATGTGCTTAAGATGAAATAATGGATCTCACATGATTAAATGAACCTCATTTTATATTATCAATACAAGGAATGTACAAGAACATGGCAAGATGATATCAAGTTAGACACTAACACGGTCACATGAAAGCATTTTGGCAATCTCAAGTATGCAATAAATATTCATCAACAATAAATTCTAGCCTATTAGGAACCATCCCTTCCACATACCTCCTTCCTAAGAATGCCAGGAGCAACACCCTAACCCTCACGCTTACAATATATTGTAACCACATAAACATAAAATTTTCACAGGGTGGCCTTTTCAGTCACCCAAAGGACACAAGGAGTTTAAAGGGCAACGAGCATGAGCGGTATCCTAATCAGGGACACAGTCCGTCCTCACTCAAAGTCACGTCTTAACTAGTTTAACACTTGAGTGTAGCTTCAAATACTGGGAAAACAGCTGATAGTTTACCTGACCATCAAAGTGAGCAACCAACGCCGTAGATGATCCATAACATCCTGTTTCTCCAGCACTTCTTTTAAGAACTTCTTCAGGTTTAACAACAGAAATGCTTTGGTAATTTGACACGACATTTTCACACTTTTCCATGAGTTCTCTGGGATAGTGTCCATTACTACTTCCTGCAAAATTTTCTGCAGATTAAGCAATCGCCTACAATATAGCACATAGTCGCAAAGTTTGGGAAGGATTTTATGAAATTTAAGACAAATCTTGTTCATTCCACCAACATGGCAACAGCAAACGAAGCTCAGAAATTGTTTTGGGGGGGGGGGGGGAGACAGACAGAAATTCAAGGATATCCATTCTGCAATTGAGTTGGGGTTTATAGTCAGCTATAGGTAACGTACATCTCATAAATTCTGAACCAAATTAGACAGTCCCACAAAATGTGATGAAGTGAACAAGAAATATAGGATGCTTGATTCACTTTTAAGTATAGAAAAAGGATTACCTTCAAATGACCACTGACCAAGTCCATCAGCCACACCTAGCCAATTTTTGCAAGCAATGAAATAAGCATCCTCTCGACCTGCCAATGCCTGGAAGTTGTTCTTAGTTGGCTTATTTGTTATCTGTTCCTGATGACTCAAATCAAAGATCGCCTCTAAAGAAGCATTTGGTACATTGTTATCTCACATTCCATTGTATCTTGGTTAGCACAAGAAGGAATCATTAAAATATTAGTTGCATTATGTAAACCAAAAAAAAAAAGAAATAGATGCATTAGTTCTAAATCTGTTGCATTTAGGAAAATCCCCACTGGTTATATGTTGATCCATGGCCACAAACAAAATATAAGGGTTCACTCTCAAGTATTGTCACTTCTCAAATGCCAGTTGCATTTTGTTCATCATACAGGAGCAGAATATACACAAGATTATTGCTGGAATGCATGGGCATTAACTTAGTCACATGATTTCCACCCAAAAAAAACAAGGGCTCAACGTCACCCAATCACATGAAAAGAAAAAAGTAAATAAAACCAAACACAGCAATGACAATAATGACAACAAATGATTAATAATTAATGGAGAAGAAAACCAGTATTATTCCATGAAAAATTTAAAAGGAATGACTTGAACAATTCATTCATTCCAAAATTATTTAGGTTTAATTGGGATAAAAAACTCCCACCACTTGCACACTTGTTTGAGTGCTTTCATTCTTAGCCCTACTGACTTTGCAGTGAGAGTCAGAGTTTTTAAACTATGTGAAAGGTACCTTAGATGGATGTGGCAAGGAAGCAACACCAGAAGTTAGGAAAAGTCCTGTAGTCAATGTTTTCTCCCTGCATACATAAAAGTGACTAGCATGACAAACCATGCAGAAGATGTCCTTTACAAATTACAAACTCTGAATGGCTTGTAAAGCATCAAACCTTGAAATTTGCATATAAAACGGTTTCAGTTTCTGTTTTCACTTTTCATTATAATATAGCCATTGGGATTGAGTTTCTTTCCTAACCACATAGCTATATACAACTTGCACAATCTACACTTTTTGTAACACTAGGCTAACACTAGGCAGAAGTTTCTAAAATCATAATTCCTTTATTGAAAAATTCAAGAACTAGATAAATATGCTCAGAAACCATTATTTTCAGGTGAAAAGGACAAGTTTCTCCCGTAGAAATAATTTTGGCCACTTGTGTAAAAAAGAATGATAATTAATATTGTGGATACAGTATACAATAGTAATTTTCTGTTTATGCTCAACCGTGATAGACTTTCTCCATGTCTATTGCCTATGCTAATTGCAGATACAAAGGGCCACAGTCTTCTGAAACTCTTCCAGCATTTCAACTTATCTTTAAGCTAAATGTTAAAGAGATCCCAATTAAAAGAGGGATCACCTAACAAGAAATCAACAAAAGGTTGGATACACAAATTTCTCCAGCTAGGAAGCAACCTGAAGCTGAGAAGGAAGAACAAGGGATAGAACAACGTGAAAAAAAAGAAAAGCAACGTAAGGAGGGAGGAGAAAGAGCATCAGGATTTGTATACAATGGAAATCCCAGGGTCTTCCTATCTCTGAGTCAACAAAGAAAAAGGAAGAAATAGAACCTAGCTCTTTGAAGGATTTATTCAGGTAACATTTTTCCAAGCTGTCTCCAAGGCATCCCCTCTGAACTCCTTTGGAATTTTCCCTAAATAGCCTCCATGTGTCCCTCTCCCCTCTAAGATAATTCCCAAGCTATTATCCAGGGTTTGCCGCCAAAAAGACGCACTTAACAGCCTCCATTAATTTGGATTCTCTCAATAAAGGGCTTCTAAGAAAGAAGAAGCATAGAAAATATCCATGGAGGGATTACAGAATTGAATAAACAAAAGACACTGAATTCAGGAAGTTCTTGCAGGGCAGGAAAGAAGTTGGCACACTTACTCATCGAGAACTGTCTCAGTTGAATGTGTCTCTGGCACACAAGCATTGGATGGACCTTCGTAATCACTTTTTCTTGTTTCATCCATAACTATTTCATCTACCGATTTGAAGGATGGAGCCAAATCATCTAACTACAAAAAACATTAGAACAGGTATCAGATTAGAAACTGTAGCAATTAAATTAAGTACAAAGGAATGATTAACCAAAGTGTTTTCACATTTCAGCAGTAAAGATTAGAAGAGTTGGACATATAAATAAACTCAGCAGACACACAACCACAGAAAAAGTAGGGAATAAGACAAAACAATGCTGTCTTCACCTTTTCATTTGCATCAACAGATTCGACAACAATATGATGACTTGTTTCCTCATCAAGAAATGGGTCGGAATCTAAAGAAGTTAACCCTGGCATGATTTCAGCTACATCAGTCTTGGCATCGGCAGTCAGGTTGTCTGTTGCTGTATCTACAACATTACCCTCGTTAGCTGTAGAGAATTGAGCAACTTCAATGTTAGCCTTCTACCTGACAAAGAGAACAATATATATTAAAAACTTCAATGGCTAATTCACGTTGAAAAGACACCAAACAAGTTGCAATATTACCTTCATTTTTGTCTTCAACTATTCCAGGAGCACTGATACTGAAATCAGGAGAAACACTAGACTCTGGGGTAACTGTTGGAACCCCCACTCCCATGTGAATTTTTACTTCAGAACTTTCCCCAGACACAATCTGGACATCTTGAGCCTCAGTAGTAATATCCTCAATATATTTTTCATCTGCTTCCACCTCTACTAAATCAGGAGACACAACAGAATCTGGAGTAACTGTTGCATCCACTACTCCTGTGTGACTATTAACTTCAGAATTTTCTTCAGACATACTTGACATGTCTTGAACATCAAAAACAAGATCTTCACGATAATTTTTATATTTTTCCTCCTTAACTAAAGCAGGAGACAAACCAGACTCTGGAGTAACTGTGGGAACCACCACTCCCATGCGACTATCAACTTCAGATCTCTCCGCAGACAAACTCTCAATATCTTGAACCTCAGAAGCAATATCATCGTGATAATTTTCATGTTTTTCCTCCTCTACTGAGTCAGGAGACACACCAGAATCTGGAGTAACTTGTGGAGCCACCAATCCTGCAGAACCACTAACTTCAGAGTTTTCTTCAGACACACTTGAGGCATCTTGAACATCAGAAACAACATCTTCATGCTCACTTTCATGCTTTTCAACCTCAGCTAAATCAGCAGACACACCAGACTCAGGAGTGACTGTTGGAACCACCACTCCTTGACCATTAACTTCAGAAATTTCTTCAGACACGCCTGGGATGTCTTGAACCTTAGAAACATCTTCATGATCATATTCATGTTTTTCCTTCTCAATTGAATCAGGAGACACACCAGACTCCAGAGTAACTATTGAACCCACCACTCCAGTGTTACTATTAATTTCAGAATTTTCTTCAGACACGCCTGGGGCATCTTGAACCTCAGAAACAACATCTTCATGGTCATTTTCATGTTTTTCCTCCTCAACTAAATCAGGAGGCCCGCTAGACTCCGGAGTAACTGTTGGAACCACCACTCCAGTGTGAGTATTAGCTTCAGAATTTTCCTTAGATGCACTTGGGACATCTGGAGCATCAGAAACAACATCTTCATGGTCATTTTCATGTTTTTCTTCCTCAACTAAATCAGGAGAAATACCAGACTCTGGACTAACTGTTGGAACCACCACTCCTGTGTGACTATTAACTTCAGAATTTTCTTCAGACGCAGTTGGAACATCTTGAACCTCAGAAGCAACATCTTCATGATAATTGTCATGTTTTCCCTCCTCTACTAAATCAAACTCTAGATGCTTACTGTTTTCTAGCGAGATATCAACTTTACTTTCATTTGCTGGCGGCTGAGACTCCTTATCAATATCATCACTCAGCACTGTTGAGCTATTTCTCAGGTCTATCACAGAGAAAGAATCAATCTCCTCACTTAAACTATGACCAGCTTCTGCATTATTACTCCCAGTTCTATGGGTTTCATCAGAATCACCTGCTAGTTCCAACTTTTCAACATCTTCACTCAACAGAGCCCCAGTACTAATATTTCCTCCTTCCTCAGGATATTTTTGAGGGACTTTCTCTTGGTCCACATCAACCATATTTTCCATTATCTCACTGACATTTCCAAACCGGTATATAATACTACCATCAGAACACTCTGCCAAATGTCCAGAAGCTAAAGTTAATCGCACGACTTGGGCAACACTACTAAAAGAAGATATTAGCTCAAGTAAGATGAATCTATAATGTCATACCAAAATAGGAACTAAAAAGAGGAACCTTGGGCTGGAATAAGCCGTAAATAACAATATAGGAAAGGACATAAAAAAGTTGCAGAGGCATTACAAACTTTGCCACTAATCAAACAGAGTATTGAATAGTGAATTAATGTCTTTTCCTTGATGTACACGTTCTCAATTTCATCACCGTGGTTGTTTCATTTATGTTAAGCATGTTAATACTTCCCCCGTTCCTTGTTATAAGGACCCATCTCTCTCATATAGTGTTTTAAATATAAGAAACAAATCCTTGTTGTCTGAAATTTTAAATTTGTCTTTTCATTTTTACCCCATTAAATATATGCTATTTATTATCTCTCTGCAATAAATTTCCACTCATTGCCTCGTACTCTTTTTATTAAACAAGGAGAAATTGGAAATATATATTACATATTTATTACTTTTAATTAAATTTAGCAAACATTTTGAACCACGTGATTTTGGCAGTTGTTTCTAAAAAGGAACCGAGGGAGTAGTTAATAATAACATGCCCTAATGTAAAGCTAATGTTAACATTAAATGCATAATAAAAATGTCATGATATAGCAGCTTGTCACTTAAGCATCCCCAACTAGGATTTAGGAACATAACGATCACTGGATTTCACCCATCTTTATAAACAAGTTTAACGTAACGAAAGTACTCTCTGAAGAACTGATATTTAGGGGAAAGTTAAGACAAAAATGTGCTTTTGGAAGTGCAAAATACCAACACAATCAGAATTCAACATAGGCTCAAGAAGAAAGTGAGAATCTTGAGAGGTAAGAAAGCATACCAGTTGCCGAGACAATATCAAAATCCTCAGAAACAGAATTTGATGATGAACCTGAGGGTTCATTTGATTTGGAAATCATGTGCGTATGGTGGGTCACCCGCCCCTTGGCAAAACATGGAATTGCATTACAGAATTGAAGTCTTTGTGAGGATTTTGGCGAAACATTTCGGCAAGAAATGAACAGACAATGGAAGCAACAGAAGCTGGAAGGCTGAGATTTAAGAGAGCCAGAGAAGAGATGTGCCATTAGTATTTTACTTCAAATTGCAATGCATGAGTGTGTCAAGTTTTATAGGTAGGAATGTTTTCAGAAATGGAAGGTAGAGAGAGTGATAAGAAGAGTGAAAGTAAGAGTGACGATGAAGAAGACGATAATCGAAAGAAAGCGAAAGCCTGAAGGAGTATCCGGTGGTGTGGATAAGGCAGATCAAGGGGAGAAACAGAGGAACTATCATTGGATGCTGTGATTCTCTGTTCGGTCGGTGATTAGTGGCTGGTATAATTGAATTGAATTGAATTGAATCTCCTAAAATGCATGGTTATTATTTTACTACCCGCTCCTTGATATTAAATTTTATTTAATTTTTATTTTAATCTTAAATATAAGACTATAATTTGTTTTATTTTTCATATTTATATATTTTTTTAAGGTAGCTTTTTAATTCTAGCCAACACACTTAATTAGCAAGGATATTTTAAAAAAGAGAACACCTATTTATTACAAATAACTAATTTAACTTTTTTTTTTAATTTCTTCAAATTAATCAACTAACTCTTATAATTAGGACCGAAGGTAATATTATATTTGATTATTTCTCTCTCTCTCTCTTTTTATGAAGATTAATATTTTGAGATTAGTCAAATTTTCTCTCTCTCTCTCTCTTTTTATGAAGATTAATATTTTGAGATTAGTCAAATTTTAATAAATAAAATAATTCACTCATTTGAACAGAAGAATAGCTTATATTATAAAATTAGAAAATACTACCTTTGGTCTTATTTATAAGACCTTATTTGCAAACTACAAATAAGATTTTGTAGAATCTAAAGTAATATGGTTTTTGGAAACATAAATATAGATTGAGGTGTGAGTAAGTGGATATCTTTTTTATTTTATTTTTTTAATTTTTCTTAAAAATACATAAAAATAAAATGTCTAAAAAATTTATTGAAAACAAAATTAAAATGAGAATTTTTTTTTGGAACCAATACCAAATGAATTAAAATGAGAAGTGTCACAGGTAGGTTAGTGCTGATCCCAATGCATTTCGTCAAATCATCAGCCTTGACACCATAATATTTTATGAAAGTGCTTTGCATCCCATGGTTACTTTGAGACTGGACAAGGGAACACGCCCCTTAGTGCTCCTGGCTTGTAAAAGAAAAGCAATAATTTCAACTCAGTCAATTCCTGGAATAATTGAATTGATCCAAGAAGAAAGTTGCAGATAAGATTTAGATTAGTGGTAGGAAAAGTGACTTTTATTTTATCTTATTTTTATAAGTCAAGTCAAAAGCTAATTAGTATAATGTGATTTATATTTAGATTGACTTTTATAAAAAAGTCAATTTGACAAATTGAGACATGTTTAGATAATTAATGAAAAAGTAAGGCCAATATAAAATCATCAAAAAAAAAAGTATGAATTTGATGAAATAATACATATTTATATCATAAGCACATGATATGATAATTCTACAAAAGATATTAAAACTATAAGGAAAAATGTGAAATTTTAGTTCGGATTTTATTTTTTAGGTGCACCCAGCATTTTGATCTTTTTAGTAGTGCAGTTTTACTTATGATTTTTTTTTTGCACAATTTTATCCATGAACTTTTTTTAATGCAATTTTACACATGATATTTTTTTTATGCAATTGAGAAATAAGATAAGGAATAAGATTACACCTTTATAAAAAATTAGAAAAAGTCCCCCATTAAAAAGTTGATTGATGAGAAAGACTTAAGTCAGAGTATTGAACATTATTACTTTGTATGTACAAAATTTGCATAGTACTAGTACCTTATATGTATAAAATTTATAAAAGGTGGCTTTTTTTTATAAGTTTTCCTAGAATTTACCATTTGATTTTTTTTATCCTCTAAATATTTTTTATAAGCATCAAATTATTGGGTATTTTGAAGAAATTTTATCTATTCTCGCTATCTTATTTTCTCTCTCGGCGGTGTATGGGATGAAAAGGCAAAAATTTTTGGCTTTTGAGGCAATGCGGCTTTTGCATCAAAAGCTCACTTGGTGCACATTTGGTGTATCGAGAATCAAAACATTAGTTTAAGCCTCAACCAGCGGTACCACTCCCAAAATGCTCTACCAGGCACACGTTTAGACTCTAATCACCCAATATCATAATGATATAAAAGCTTCCCAGTAAATGAGAGGTTAGAGATTCAATCTCGTTCAGGTCGTTAGTAGAGGCAATCAATCTCGTAACCGGAGAATCTGATCCTGATTACCCTTTTAAGAATCTAGATGACATTAGATTATTTGTATGTAGAGACTGACATTTTGTCTTTTTATTACATTAATTTCATCATTACAAGTTACTTAAGTTGTTATTAGAGCCTGTTAATGATTATTTTTCGTTTCTAAGATCCTATTGTAATTCTTTTTTTTTTTTTTAATGTTTTCCATTAGACTTGCCAATAGACATAGAGCGTGGACATCATTTACAAAATGGCAACAGAATTGATTCTTTGAAAAATATTTAAAAATGTCGATTTCAGATCAAAGAATTTGATGGCAAACCAAAGCGAAAAAGTATATCCAAGTTCTTCCCACTGCACGCACAAGGGTCAATGAAGATTACAGTTCCAACCAAGATGGAAAAACAAAGTGTCCAGATAACTTTTTGCCACGATGAATACGTTGAAGTAACTCAGAATAAGAGAATTGAAAGTTAAGTGCAATTATGTTCTTCCGTCAACCCTGTCTAGACTAGTCCAATTGTTCATGTGAAGGATAATCTAGCATTAAACAACCATGATAATACCTAAAAAGCACAAAATTTTCAGACGATACATGGAAATGTAAGGTTCAATCCGAAGAGTTGCACAAGAGACTCAACAAAATTAGATCCAAGTTTAGTGGGCAGTGTATCTTTATTTATTCGCTCCCCCTCCCAGTAGCCATCAAGAACTCGCCCTCACATACAACTTCACCTCCAACATAAGCCTTCCCTTCCATCTTTGCTATCCCAAATCGCTTTTGCAGCTTAACAAGTGTCATTCTCATAACCAAGGTATCTCCTGCAATCACTGGCTTCCTAAACCGGACTTTGTCTATTCCAGCAAAAAAGAAATTTTCACGAGAACCTCCCACTTCAGGTTGCAACATGACCAAGCCACCAACTTGAGCCATTGCCTGCATTAAAATACCACTCACCTTAATTACCTGTTTCAAAGCATATTACATAGAGTGTTCTACGAAAAGAACTTCTCCTTTTTCTTTGTTTTTTTCCAACACTCCTATCAGATGTGCAAGCAAGAGATATAGTTATAATGTGGACAATGGTGGAAGATGTTCTTAATAAAGAATGCTGCTTAAATTTAAACTCTAATTATATCACGAGATGTCTATCTGAGGATATCAAAAATAAATAAATAAATAAAAATACTTTAAATGGACTGATTTACAAAAGATAGATCGTGTTAACACATAGAGACATGTAAAGTACACTTTCCAGCATAATTCGCCAATGAAATCTGCATTTTCTGCAAAGCTCGCTAAGAGGTAATCCCATAGAACTGGCTTTTTCATCAATTTGCAGAAAGGTGAGCTTTCCTAGTTTTGAAATTTCTAAGTTTTGAACTGGGGTTTCCGGGGCCTCCAAAGTAAATTTTCATGGGTTTACCATTAAGACTGATTTTGTTGTTTGCAAGTTGTGAACTTAATTTCTTTATTTGAAATGAAATCTCACAATTCTTGCTACGGTAAATTGCCATGACAATTTACATCAAACAATAATTTCTGTACTTCTGTCAGAAAGCATGTGTTGGTTGAAAGACACTTGTAGGGCTTATTGGCTGTTGTTTCCAACATTGTACTGCATTTATTGAGTCCAAAATATAGGATCTTGAGTATGACCAAGAACTAGTTGCAGTTTCAAAGAAATCTGTTCTCATACCATGCCACAGAACCATATACTAGTGGCATAATCTTTTAGGAGAAGACCCCAGAGTGATTTCTATTACTATCTCTCACCCTAGATAGGGGGCAGGAAAAAAAAAAAAAAACAAAAAAGGTTTTCAACATGTCAGCTAACTAAGAAGTGATAAATGCTGGTATTCAATTCAAAAGTTCAACAGGTTTACAGATAACTGATTTTCAAGATCCAGTTTTTTTTTTTTTAAAAAAGAAAATTAAAGGCTACATTGCTGTAGTCAATCAAGATATAATTGTGATATTAGCTTTCTAGGACTAATGCCAGGGGCACACTATGTTTCAATCATTAAGTACATCCATCATTGCATGCTTATGATGCAAAGATTTTTCTTTTCTTTTTTTTTTTGCCCCTTTGTTGCACCGGAAAAGAGATGATGCAAAGATATCATTAATGATATGATATCTACTTCTTTTTTTTTTTTGTTAGCCGTAAATATGATTTTCACAACCAATAGAGAATAAATGAACATGAACTCATTCAAATGAGGGTATCAAATATCAATCAAATAATCAATCTATAACTCCATATATATATTCAAATCCAAAATCATAAGTCAAGTGGATACCGTGACCTTGAATGCTATACAATTACAAACTAATATATCTTCTCCGACTAATCTCAGAAATGTACTTTTACAAAACCCTAATAAACTGACGATTGCGGCTAGGCATGCCATTTTTTTCAATTGATTAATTGGGCATACAACTAAGGATGTGCATACTTAAATTACCATATGTTAACATGCAGCTAATATAACAAATAAAAAATGTGAGAAATACCAACAAAAATAGATATGCAAGTAAAGAATCATCGCCAGCATGATTTTTACCTCAACCATGAGAACACCAGGCATAATCGGCCTTTCTGGGAAATGCCCGGGGAAAAAGTTGTCATTTATTGTTACATTCTTTATAGCCACGGCAGAAACTCCTGGATTGTATTCGATCACTCTATCAACTAGAAGAAACGGAAACCTAAAGCACAACCACAGAAAACAAAGAACAATCAGGGGCAAGAAACAACAAGACCTGGCTTACTGGCTCTAACAAAAAATAAGACCAAACCCCAGTTTGATCCTCAAATATGACCGGTATCAGCCAAGCCCTTCGGATATTCTCTCTGTTACCTTGATGCTAATGAGTACGATTTCGTTCCAATGACATCATTCTATAGTTACTAGAATAATACTGTGCAATCTTTAGAGAATCAAATATTGTTTGACTATGGCAACAAGTTAAAGCTTTTCGTTTAAAGTGATATACAAAAGTTTGTTTGGATAACCAAAATATGGTTGCAGTATAAAAGATCAACAACAAAAGAATGTCAGAAAACCAAAGATTTCGGTCACCTGTGGGGCAAAATGTCACGAATCTGGTTGATATCCAATACCGTCGGAAATGCTGGATACTCTGAAGCAGCAGAACACCGAAAACAAGTTGATCAGCAAGATGAGAAAGTGAAGGAGTCAGTTCATTCCTGAAAGCAGAAAAGAAAGAGAATGCCTACTTAATTCGATGGGTTTATCATCTTCTTTTGGAACATTTGCAGCATCCGAAGAACAAAACGTCGTGAATCGTCTTTTAGCCGCCGTCACTCTCAGAGGGTTGGCCCGAACAGACAGAGATCCCGGGTTCGAAAATCTGAGAGCTGAGCATCTGGGACGATGCGAAGTGGAAGGGTGAGAATTTGGGGAAGTAGGAGAGAGAAAGGCGTTAGACAAAGCAGAACTTGCCATTGTTGAGCTTCTTCACCGAGCGTGCTTGCTTGCTTGGGTCTTGGAAGTGTTATAGGTGTAGCTGCATTTATCGAAAGGGAAGGAAGAAGGGCGAGAGAAACAAAGAGAACCCAAAACAAGCGTCTGCCTTTGGACGGAGATTTCACTGTCCCTTCTTTAATTTCTCAATCGAAGAAAATGAAGGAGAAGGGCAGATTAGGTGACAGCAGTTCAGCTAGACGGGTCGGTTATTCAGGATCCGACGTTGACAAATGTTCCCTTGGCCATGGGTCATTTGCTTTGGGAAATTGTTATGAGGTGGAAAAAAAAAAAACAAAGAAAAAAAATTACCTAAAAATCTTTTCCCCAAACAGATGGCCAGTTAAACATAATAATTAGGGAAAAAATAAGAAAATTCCAAAATACTGAAGACTAAAGAGGTTGTGAAAAGTGTGAGATTCCAAAATAAGATTTTCAAATTTCATTGAAGTTAACACAAATGCCCCCACTCAAAAAAGCAAGAAAAAACGTCTCTATTTAACTTTCTCTCCACTTTCCTCTATTTATTATCTTTACTATTAGATTAATAACCAATGATGATTGAGATTTAATATATTATAACAATATTATAACATTAAATAATAAAAAAATATATAAATAATTTTAAAATCAGACAACACAGGATAAAAAGACAAAAAAAATTGTGAAATGTTTTAATAAAAATCTATAAAATTAATGTATCCATATTAATTTCTGACTGCTTATATTTTTTTTATTTAATTAATATTATAATAATATCATAATATATTAAATCTTTGGATGTTAATCTAATGGTAAAAATAATAAATAGAGAGGAAATGGAGAAAGAATTAAATAGAGATATTCCTCCCTACTCAAAAAAGAAGTTCAGAATCTCTTCCCGATGACTCTCAACGGCGAAAGTTAATGATAATTATCGAGCCATTAAATTATATTGACATTATAATACCAAAAAAAAAAAAGTTACTCATCTAATGCTATTTATAAGGCACTTCTAACATATTTTACATAGACCAAGAAAAACTTTAAACTGCATTAACTCTTCATTAAAATATAACAAATTTTCAACTTGACCCCTATTTAATATATACATTTTTCAAAAAAATAACTACATACACGATAACAAATAAAGGACAATATAGTACATTTATGGTAAAAATTTAATGAAGTGACTTATAAATAAGATAAAAAAACTCTTTTTTCTTTGCCTTATAAATAAGACCAGAGGAGTAGCTTTTAATTTTCAGTGATCCACGGCTTTAATGTATTTATTCACTACATTTTATTAGTAATACATTGTTAAAACAGACATTTCAATACTCTTTTGGTCTTATTTATAGGTCATTTCTAACATGTTTTACACGGACTAGTAAAAATCTTAAACTTTACTAATTCTCATTTAAAATTTAATAACTATTCAACTTTATTTTTATTTAATATATAATATATCTCATGAGAACAAAGTTAACACAATAATAAATAAAAGAGTAAAGATATATGTTTATATAAAAATTTTCTTTCTGTTCTATAAATAGAAACGAAAAATTTTTTTACTCTGTAAACAAGACCAGAGCAGCACTTCACTAGCAATACCATTTTTTCTTTGCCAGCTTCATTAGCAACACCATGCGAACATAATTAAAATTTAAAATAGCAATACATTGCCTAACCCAACAAACATAGCTACAAGTCTACAATGCTATAACAGCAAGGGGGCCCATTGCCAGCTTCCTATCCGGCCCAGAATACCAAATACGGACTCCTCGTCTCGTTTCTCTCTCCTTCTCTGAGTTCTGCTTTTGCGGTTTCCTTTTTCGCCTCCTCCTTCCTCCAACTAAGTCTCCGACTTGCCGTTGGCACTTGTATCACTCTCTCTATATACATGCTATAGTCAACCAGTCAAAAAGATCTTCTTCCAAGGAATCCTTCTTTATCTTTCCTTCTTCCCTTCTCGGTGAGTGAGGAGGTGGAATTCCTTTCCTCCGCCATGAATTTCCACCTCAATAACCACAATTCTTCCCCCTCTTCCTCCAATTCCTCCTCCACCCCTAATCCCCTCAGGGATACTCCATCTGCCTCCCTCACCACCACCACTACCACGGCTACCGCCGCCGACGACCCAATGCACTCCTGGTGGGAATCTATTTCCAAGGCCCGCTCTCGCATCCATGCCCTCGCCAACATCCTACCTCCTTCTTCCTCTGATTCTCTCATGACCCTCGCCGATTCTGACCGCCCTGCCCTCTCTCTCCTCTCCTCCCCCGTTGCCTACTCCGCCGTCGCTGATTCTCTCTATTCCCCTGAATCTGGCGCCGGTTCCGATCCCCTCTGCCACTGGCTTTACGATACCTTCCTTTCCTCTGACCCACATCTCCGTCTCGTCGTTCTTTCGTATCTGCCCCTTCTCTGTGGTCTCTACCTCACTCGAATCCACAATTCCTCTTCCGATTCAACTTCGCTTCCTTCTCTGTCTGGCTTCGAGGCTGTTCTCTTGGCTCTCTATGCTTCTGAGACCAAATCTCGTGGGGGAAAACCTGTTGTGGTTACAATTCCGGATCTGTCGCAGCCTTCTATTTACCACACGCCGATGAAGAAACCTGGTGGTAATGGGGTTAACCAAACTAGGCCTTCCGTTGGGGTTATGTCTGCTCCGCTTGAGCCTATGGTTGCGGTGAAATCGACCAAAAGGGCTTGCATTGTTGGGGTCGCGCTTGATTGTTACTACAAGCAGATCTCCCAGATGCCTAGTTGGTCTAAGCTTGAATTTTGCCAATTTGCTGCTGGTTGGGCTGGGCAGGATTGTCCCTGTAAGGGAGAGTTTGATGGTGGGGAGGAAATTAACGCTAACGGGCTTTCCAATGGTCTGGATTTGAAGGAGGAGGAGGATGAAATTGAAGAGGAAGTCACGAAAGAGATGGAAAATTTGGCTATTCAGAGGTATGATTTTGCTCCTGAATCTTCCAAAGGGGCCAGAATTCCACTTCCTTGGGAGCTTTTGCAGCCAGTGTTGAGAATCCTGGGGCACTGCTTGTTGGCCCCATTGAACTCTCAGGAGGTCAAGGATTCTGCCTCAGTTGCAGTAAGATGTTTATACGCGAGGGCCTCTCATGATTTGGTGCCGCAGGCAATTCTGGCTTCAAGGAGTCTCATACAGCTCGATAAGAGGGCTCGGGAGTCTGCCAAGGCAGTGGCTGCAACTGCAAATGCGTCATCAAATGCTAACACACCCAGCAAAGCGAAGAAACCTGAAATTCTTTTGGTCTCAAAGTGATTGGGGGAAAGGCACAAAATGTGCTTGTGAAGAAGATGATGATTGCTGTATAGTGAGTAAATCAGTAGCGGATCGAGAGTGTTTTCTCTAGGCTTCATACTGTAAGAATTCAGGCTTGTATCATAGACCGATAGTTTGTTCCTTTTTAAGTTACATATTTTTTCCTCTTTATCCCGAATGAATATTTAGTTGTTTTGACGTTGTTCTTTAGTCTTGACTTATTTGCTATCATTTGCTTCATTGGTGTCCTTTGCTTGATTTTATTGCACATTCTTAGTGCAATTCTATATGTTGCTTTACTTTATTTGAATTGTTGTACTCTGTATTGATTGAGTACATTGAATGGGCGTTCTTATGATTCATAATTTGCTTTAGATTGGTTTTGCTGATGATTTTTTTTCTGGGTTTTAGTAACCTGTTTGGAGTTCAGATGTTATCTTCGAATACACGGAGCGATGTTTGCAAGTCCTATATAATACTGGTTGTCTGGTAAAGATGAAGTCTTTTTTGCCTCCTCCTTATTTAAACTCCATAATTGACTTAGTCATTTTAGAAATTCATTTTGCTGATCAGGATCTTGATTCTCTTAAATTTCTGGTTTTTTTGTGTTATATCCATTATTGCTCCTATTTGGGAGCCATTTATTTTCTCTGGTGTCGTCGATATCGTAGTACAAGAGGATAATATGGTATCTAAGATTCTCATGTTTGTTATGACAATTTCCAATTGTCTTATGAAGGATGTGAATGGCATTCTATAGAAGTTTATGAAGCTTAGTAACTTAGGGCGCAAGATTCCCTCAATTTTTTTGTCTTCGTGGTATGAAATACTATCCAAAGTTATGTTATCCAATGGCTCCTAGCGATTTGATCCCGGTGTGCCAAACATAGGCATTTTGGATTCCTTTTGCCATTCAAGATACCAAGGTGAAGATATTTATCGAATGGGTTATTTGTCACAGTTCACCAAAACCAGCATTGTTATCCTCAGTCCTCGACCTCTGAAGATTATAGTCTGTGACCTAGGATAGATCTATGAATGAGGTGAGTTTGCTCATTCAGTGTTAATAATAATTCACAATTGTGCGTTTACAGGATGACCCCAACCTATATCTGAACCCTAGATGTTACTGATAATCAGTTCTACAGTCTATGGTTTTTGTTTTGGTGGTTTAGCACCTTCAGACTCTTCACTTTAGGTCTTGAGAATCCCTTGTGAACTTTAATTGTTTGTTGGATACTGGCAAGATCATTATAAAATATGATGTTTACAAAGTTATTGTCGTTAGAACAAGGCAGAAGACACCGTGAAGACCAATTCACCCTAGACTGACTGAATTCCGTTTTATACTGCTCTTTTTGGTCTAGAATTTTCCAGTTTGAATGAGTAATCTGTGCAACCGCTGTTTGTATGCTGACAGCAGTAGCTTCAATGGCAGAGTCTAGTTTCTACCCTGTGATATGTTGCTCTTTATGCAAAGCCCTAACGCACTTGTTTTTTGGCCTGGTAGTGTGCTGGAGACCAACATCAACACAAGACACTAATGAGATGCTTACAGGCGTTAGAATAAATAGCTATATTTTTCAACCTGGATTTAGAGTGAATTCTTTTCAACATGAGCATTTTGAATTTTACGATTCATTTTTTCAGTCATTCGTTTTAGAAGATCATGATGAATGGTATTTCAAATATATAATGATGTCTACTGTGTTTTTCTTTAGAAGTGAAAGTTTTAAGAATCAGGACTTGAATACAACACTTGTGTGGAGATTTACCATGTTTAGTCTCTCTCTCTCTCTCTCTCTATACATATATATATATATATATGTAAGTTTGGCGGCTCAACTTTTCTTCTTGCACGTTAGTACTTCATAGGTTTCCCTTCAAACTTCAAACTCTTCTGTCCCATGATGCTGTGTAAATGCTGGGTGACTTCTGGAGCCCACTACTGGATTAGAATCCTATAAAATTGGCCTAGCTGTTGAAGGTATAAATGGAGTTTAGTCTGTGTTAGCAGGTGCATCACAAATTGTTTGTTACATATCATGGTGTTATGTTCCGGTTTTTTCAAATTGACTGGTGTTATCTTGTGTTTGAAAGTCGAGAAACTTGAAGCAGTTCACGATATTCAAGTTTAGAGACCTTACATCGTGCCTGCCATGGATGCATACTTCATCTTTGTACGATCGCATCAAAAATTAACTAATGAGACTTGCCAAGCTGACTGTATGGTGGTACTGCATGTGTTCTTGTAGAATAAGTGAATTGACCTTGTGGCCTTCAAATTATTAAATATTTCAATATGGTCAAGAGGCTTTATGCCTTGAAGTGATCTTAATAATGTATTTGTAATTTTTTTATTCATTTTTGTTATGATTTATTTTCTCATGCGATTCATAAAAATCAATAACTTTATGAAGTTTTTGAAAGATTTTACTTATTTTCTAACTAATGAAAGAATAAAAATATTATCCGAATCCCCAGAGGACGGCGTGGGAACAGTAACCCTGGATCATAGTGGTCTTCGCCCTTCCTGCTACAGTTCAAAGGACATTGCTTGTTCATCACAAGGTGCTGGTGTGATCATTATAATTTGTTTTTCTGGGTTTAAAGAAAAAATATTTAACTATTAAATACTAAATTGGCATTTTACTTTGCCATTATTTTTATTTGGACACAAACAAGTTAATTAAGATTCTTTCGTTTGGAGAGAACCCACACTTAAGCTGGTCTAGTTGAAAGCAGGACATTTCTTTCTTATTTCACCATCACGACCAGTTTTGACCTCAATGTTGCTCATTTTCACCATGGCTTTGCCAAACTCCACGTTGAATACAGTCTTTTCCGAGTACCTCTGAACAAAGGGCTTTGTGGAAGCATCACTCCACAGTTCTTGATCAGACTGCAAAATTCCCCGTCCTTTCCTCAGATTATTGAAGTAAGATGTGTCGAACCGGTTCTGGCTTCTGAAATCGAGCGCCACCCTGTTCATGCCGTCGCCTTTCTCAGGGCAAAGTGCTCGGAGTTGGGGCAGGAAGGAAGGGTTGATGGAAGGGTCAGGACCCCCATTTCCACCAAAGTTGTAGAGTCTGTTGCTGAAGAACAAGCAGGCTGTAGTTCCGATGGTATGCCCTCCTATATATACATATAAATATATTTATTCAAATATTAAGAAATGAATCGGTTACGATTTGAAGCCAGAATGTTCCAATATCTTACACATTCCCAAATTACAAGATAAAGAGATAGGTTTGTTTGTAGAGATAAAGACAAAAACAAAAGGGCAGGCTAATGCCCAATTATAATATGTGGATCTTGTGAATGCCCCATCTTTATTCTCAAGATCCAAAGGGGATATATGACGCGAATTGAGTAAAATTTTGTAATTGTTTATTAATAATTTTTGAATATGATTAATAATTCATAAAGATAATCAAATTAGAAAAGAAACCATGGGCGGCTCATCACGGAAAACCAAGTAATTTGGATTTTAATTATGCCACAGTATGGTCAAATAAGGGACAAAAATAAATAAAGGAGTTGGAATCCATAGAGTCTCTACATTTCTACTTGTTCTCATTAAAAAAAAATATTTTCTACAATACAATTATTAAAAATTTATTTATTGTAAAAATAAGGAAATAATGCTTATCAATTGATATAAGTATCTCATTCATATGGACAGTTTAATTAAATTTTATTTTATTTTGTTATTTATATTATAATATATTTATTTAAACGTGTAAAACATAAAATAAAAAAAAATTTAATCGCTAATCTTTTAATATTTAACCTATGAAACAAAAATTTAAAAAAAAATCCAATGATGAGAACTATTGAAATTAAATCTTAATGATAGATCTAAATCATTCCTCTTGAACGATCACTGGTGAATTCAGACATATTATGTCACTTGTGAACAATGCAACTTTTTAGCAACTTAATATTACCCAAACACATTTGTTTACGAACTATATGAAGTTAAAAAAATTGAGTTACCTTATTCGTGAATTATATAACTTGTCATAGCATAAAGTAACACAGTAATAACTTTATAATAACAATATATATACTCCTCCGGTCCTTATTATAAGACCCAATTTGACTTTTTATTTGGTCCTAATTATAAGACCCCAATCCATTTTCTCTCTTATATTTATGCATTTTTTTCCAAGATAATCCTTCTAATAATGATAGTTTTAGTTAATATACTTAATTAGCAAAGATATTTTAGGAATCACAACACTTATTTATTATAAATAACCAACTTAACTTACTTCCTTAATCTCTTCAAATAAGTCAATTGGGTCTTATAATTAGGACTGGAGGAGTATATAGTTTTCAAGAATTATGAATAATAATACATCTATTTTATATTTTGTATATCGAGAGAGAGAGAAGTGAATTACCAACAAGAGTGACAAGGTCTTGAGCGTTGAGGCCCTTATCAGCAAACTTCTTCTTCTGAACATCAACAGAATCTGAAGGGCCCGGCAAGTTATCCACATCTGAAGCCTTCGATACTCTACCATCTCTTCTACCCGTAGGAACTTCCCATCTTACCCCTCCACTCTGCATTTGTTCCCAACCATATCATTCTTATCCATTCACCTACGTACACTAAACACAAATGAATATATTAACTAAATTCAGTTATTACCAGAACAACAGAATCTCGAGCAGCAAGGGCAAGTATGTCAGCACAAGAGACAACACCGGGGCATGCAGCCTCCAGCTGCGTCTTGGCTTCTTCAATGACCTCAAACCCCCTCAACCCGGCGTTCGCCCCAGCGGTTCTCTCTGTCCCTGCACCGGCCACGAGGACCGACGCGTCGCAGCCTCGGACGAAGCAATCATGGAAGTGCATCCTCAGTAAGCCAGCAGCTAGAGAAGGATCAGACTTGACATGAGCTTGAACAGCAGATCTCACAATTGACTCAGCTCTAGGGCAAGAGGCTGAGTAAAACCCTAGACGTGTCCCTTGGCCATGCACAGTCACAAGCAAAGCTAGAACCATGTAAAACACGAACAAAAACCTTAAGTCGTTGAAGAAACCAGCCTCCATTATTTTAATCTCGAACTCAATTATATGAGATGAGATTGGTGAATTTGGGGTTATAATTTATAGAGTTTTTTGGGGCTTTAATTTGTGGGGTCAGAACTTGATAGAGATAAGCAATGAGTAAGAGAAGACGGCTAATGTTTCCAAAACCTAGTGCGATATAGGCGGGATTCAGGTCTTTTATAAATGAAGTAGACATTACTTTACAGTCACTTGTATTACCCATTAACTAATTTAAAAAAAATTTAAAAAGTTACTAAATTATTTAATTATAGCATATATTATATGATTTCTTCAAAATATTCCTCCAGTCCTAAATATAAGACCCCTTTTGTAGTGTAAATTACTTCCAGTCCTAAATATAAGACCCCTCTTGTAGTGTAATTTACACTACAAGAGGGTTTTATATTTATGACTGGAGGAGTACTTATGTATACCATTATATTATGCTCCTTAATTTCTAAAATGTAAAACCCATTTAATGGTATAAATTATACTATAAAGTGAGTATTACATTTAGAACCGGAAAAATAGACTAATTTGTAGTAAATAAGTCAACTGAATCTTATATAATGACCAGACTATTATTGATATTTGGTAATATCCGATTAGATTTAAGCATTGTCAAGTGCCCACCAATTAAGGGTAATTATATTCTTTTAATTTTTTTTTTTTGCATTTACATGTACTCGAACAAATATAACCCTTTTGGTATGATCATCAGCAGCTATATATGTTGAGCGGTTTTCTTAAATAAAATTGTCACTATTTTACTGTATAATATTTTACTTTAGAAACTAAAAATAATGTTGAATTATATATATGACTGGATACTCTCGGATGCCAATCTTTTAAATCTATATGACTTATTTTTTTCCGGAAAAAAGGAAAGAAAACAAAAAGGGGACAATAGAGAACAGCATCCCAACATGTGCATGTTCATGGAAAGATTATAAAGGTTTGAAGAAGTCAAAGCTGATATGAAGACAAACAGAGACAGTGATGGATCAAGTGGAGTTTAATAGCATTTAGCATGACAGGTTGCATCATTAATATATGTAAACTCAAATCATATTATTGGTTAGAGATCTGATAATATTGTTAAAGCAAGACTATATGTGACTTTAATTACTCTTCTGGGTACTCATATCAATTAACTAAAAAATTTACATGCCCCAGCTTGTAGCTAAATTGGTTCACATCATCTAATTACTGAACTTACACGCCACACAGCTTTCAGCTACAACAGTTAAAGTTGAAAATTGTTTTTTTCCCCCAACGCGTGCATAGATATATCTTATTGGAGACAACTTGGTTCGAGACATAACTAGAGACATTAAATGTGGACAATGAAAATTTATTAAGATTTGATGGGTTTTAATGATGATTCAAACCTTGATTCATTGTACATAGTGTGAGAAATTACTCCCTCCGTTCC